CCGTGGCTTATCTCATTTAAATCTTAACAAAAGTCTTAGATAGTGGGTATTATTTTGATCTATTTTATGGAAGCGGAAACAGAAGATCAGAAAGGTTAAGTAAATTTCCCATTGCCACTTAGCACGTAGGTAGAAGAGCTGGGACTTGGATCTAGGTCTATATGACCCAGATGCCCCAACTCGTGACCTGGCTGGGTTGTTGCCTCAGAATCCAAGCAGGTTCTTGATGTTCCTTTTCCAGGGGCTTATGAATCATCTAGAAAGTAAGCAGATCTTTAGACTTCAGGAGTCTGGGTCAGGATTATGGTTCCATGTTTTCTCTTAGAAAATCAGATGGCATTGGTCTGTCTCTCGTCTTTCAGTTTCTTAAATTATTCCACACTCCTTCAAGAGTCCATTTAGACCAAGAACTCAGCGTTGAATGTCAGAATTTCACAGCCAACAGTGCCCTGAGTGATCACCAAGTGCACCTGTACAGCAGAGAAAAGTGGGCTTGTCTAAGGTCATATAACGAGTTCACGGGAAGCTGGGTCCAGGATCCAGGGTCCTTCTCCCACAGCCTTGCCCTCACTGTGTGGCCTTGCAGAAATCTCCTCTCTCTGAGGACTGAAACAGACAGATACCCACAGAAGCAATCTCAGTTAAACTAAGCTTTTAGAGCAGCAGAACCTTTGACAAAAGGGAACCTGTAGCGAGACCTACTCTAACAGCTCAAAGCCAAGATGGTCTATTAAATCAGGGGTGTGTATAAGGCTCATTCTTTACCTTGTCCCCTTTCCCCATTTATCCCTAGGCACTTCTGGGAATGCAAGGTACTTGCTGTTGGCAGTTAGAAAATCATGAGCTTAAGCAGTTTGAGAGCATTGAAAGAGAACTTGATGGAGCTAAATCTAAATCTAATTATCATGTTGACCGATCTCAGCAGAGCCCTCCAACCATGATGTTAGTAAATGGTTAACAACCAGCTCTCCGAAAAAAGAAACTTCCTGATTTATAGCATTTGCCCATTTCTATAATGGCCAATTCTGTGAGTTACCAATATGATGTTAACCAGCTTGCAAATTTCCTGAAAACATAACAATTGACTCTTGGGAGCTGGTACGAACTGACTCCAGCATACTACAGCTTCCAGATCTTCAAATACTTTGCAAGATTTGGATTCTTAAACTTTGGCAGCAGGCTTCCTGGGTATCAGATGAAAGAAATGGGTAAGAGTGTAGAGGGAACTTGAATATCTCATTGATAGGTCTTTTTCTGTGCTATTATTGCCTCTGTTTCATATCTTGATGGAAATGTTGCCATTTTTACCCTGTTATAGAACAAATAGAAGTGTGACTTGTGGTTCACAATCTATGAAGCTGATTTCATATAATTTTGACAGTTCTATCACATTTCTCACAGTTATGATTCTTTTCCCCTCTAGGGATGGTATAAACATTATGTTGGAATAGCGTGTTGAGTACTGTTCCCCTCTGATCCTTTATGGTAGGCTACCTTCTTCTTTCTAGGTTTATATTTGCCTAAGTTCAAAGCTCTGATACATGCACCTTATAAATTTTCCCTGCCCCCACCCTGATATGCCTGGAGGAGGGGAGGTGGGGACTCTGTGGTCCTAAATCTCTCCTTGGCACATGTTCTCAGGCATGAGTGAAGAATCAGTGATTCAGTTTGAACAGAGAAATTGCAGACAGATGTACTGTTCTCACAGCTGGCTACTTGGAGGTACAGCTACACTTGGCCACCCACACTTTTTTGCACCTGTGGGGGAGGAATCACTTCCTTATTGTGCTGGTGTTTTTATCTACATGGCAGAAGATGCTGAGGTCACATGCTCTGAGATGCCAGGCGGGCTCCAGGGGGCAGAGGAGATATTTCTTAAGTCTCGGTGGGCTAGCACAGAGGTAGAAGAGCGGCAGGTAGAAGGTATTCCTGAGTTTTCTGGTCAGCAACTCACATCAGCTGACTTTGTTCATGAGACAAAGCACAAACCCATTTTTATTTCAATGACTCCAATTGCACCTCTGCTGGGGTTAGGAAACCCATTCCCCGGATGGCACTGAGCCAGAAAATTAGCAATGATCAATGAAAGGGGAAGGATGATGAAATAAAAGTGGAGTCTCAATTAGGCTCTAAATGAGCAAGGCAATGTTAAGTCTTCAACAGAGGAGGGGCCGGGGACTAGAGGAAGGAAAAAATGATTACGTGGAAGAATTCAGCGCCCCAGTCTGGACTTAGCCATTGATTTCCTATTCCAGCTCCACAGATGAACCATAAAGGCCTTGCAGAGTGCATGGACCCCCTTGCCATATTTCTCCATGATCTGCATAAAGGAAATGTGAGTTCCTCCTCTCTGCTTATCTGTTTGGCTACATCAGATCCTGGGTGGATCTAAGGGAACAAATGTCTGTGGGTATTATGTTAGGGATTTAAATTTACCAGCTGCTGGGAAGTTGAATTTGTGGTTTCAGGGCACAGGATGCTTCTATGTGAATCATGGTCAAAGCTGCTCTTGTAAAATTATACAAATATTGGTTGTGTTCATATGAAATGGTGGGCTGAAATGTTTCTATGAGATTTCAGTGATTTTTTTTAACAACAACAACAACAACAAAAAAACCCCAATATTTTACCTTGAATTGCTAAAAGGCAAAATAATTGATGTTGAATTTGGTGACTTGCCCTGAAAAATGCAATCCTGGGGACAGCCTGTATCAGACATTTAGAATGGAAACCAAATATTTTCTTGCGTGGATATCCATAACATAAGACTTATCTCCCATCTGGCAAAACCTCTTTCTGTGGAAATGTTCAGAGTGGAATTGCATTAATAAGTAGACATCACGTGAAATTTACTATTTACGCACTTTCAATAGTCTCTGTAAACTGAGTTGCATGTCAGCCGTGTATCAATAAACATTTCTACCTGCGGGTTTTCAAGACAGATTAGCTGAGAAGAGCCATTATGGGATGAAAGAGGAGGGCACGCTGGGAGAAGAATGAGATGAAACATTCACCTATGCAAACGTTTCCTTCCTGGATACTATTTGGTTTTTAATTTCTTTTCTTTTTTTTCAAACATAAGATAAAATACAAGATGTGGGTGCTGTTTGGAGATAGCCCACATCTATACAGCAAGGAGACAATTCTCCAAAGTGCAGCTCTCAGTGGGGTATTTATTTAATTCGTATTGGTTTTGGACCGCAGCCTGTAATGAGGAAAGATACGGATAGAGGCAGGAGATGGCGGTTGGAAGTCTGTACCTTTTTGAACATGAAAGTACAAAAGGGTCGTGCATGTATTGAGGTTTTAGTGAAAATTCAATAACTTTAGCTGCAGACACTCTGCTCCGGAACACTAATAAAGATGGGAGGGCTAATAAAGGACCCGAATTCGAGCTTCTTAGGGATGAAAGCTGGAGTGGCGCCAGGCTCAGCTGCCCTGACGTTGAAGAATGCCCTGGTATGTTTTTGCACATGGGCCAATTGAGGACTAGGTTGATTTTAAGGCATCTTTCAACAGCACATGGACCCCAGGGACCTGTAAATGCCAAACAGGCCCTACTGAAATGGGGTTCATTGAAGGGGGATCAGGGATGCTTGAATTTCCTGCCAGCAAATGCCCTGATAGACAGGCAGACCAGAGTTAAAAATAAGAAGGTCCTCCCTAAAGTCAGACATTCCTTCATTGGGTCTTTTGGTCTTCCTGAAGCACAGTGGTGTGAGGATCTTATTAATGAGCTCGGGTGTGAGTGAAAGGGCCAAAACCCTCTAAGAAACAGCCAGCAGCTAGCAAAGAGAGGTAGGAAGAGAGGAAAAGGCTTGGCCTTGGCAGCATTAAAGATTCTCCCTGAATTATCTAACTCCATCCTCCTCTCCACCCAGTACTGTCACTTTCTCTCATTTTCAGATGTTCACTTATTTCAAACCACATCCTTGAAAGTGGCAGATCCAGGGCTTGAACTCAGATGGACAGCATGGTCTGAGTCCAGCCAAGCCATCTGGGGTTCATATCCTCCAGCTCCAGGAGGAAAGAGAAATCTGGGATGGGGCTCAACTCACTGACTCACTTTGTTATTAGGGTTGACCATGTTTGCAGAAAGCTGTTCAAGAACCATCTTGAAATCAGCCCTCAGCCTTCTCAGCTGCAGGCTGATGCCCTCAGTTTACACCAGATTTGAAGCTTTGCTGACAAGTTTGACCACATTTGCAGAAGGCTGCCTGATAAACATCTGTTTGAGAGGCTCAGTTTTCTCCTCTTTGGGCTAGAGATTCTCAGCCTCCACTAGCTTTGCCTGAGGTCTGAATCCTCATTAGTGGGCTATAATTAGCAATGATTATTGCCACAGTGCCAGGCATGGTACATGGCATGTTACATCTTGTGTTGCTAATTGTCGTAGCAGCTCCAGGAGATGGGTGCATTATTATTTCCATTTTACAGATGAAGAAAGTGGAGATACCAGCTGTATGATTTGATCCCAGGTCGTGTAAATTCTAAGCTCATGTGGTATAATGCTGACTAGGGAGGCTGTACATTGGGTCCCTTCTAGAGGGATGTGGAAGCTGCTCTTGGCATTTTTGCTGGACTCATTGCTGTGGGCTGAGATACACATGTGCAAGGTTGGCCAGCTGGACCCCAGGAGGTGTCACTGCACCCAACTCTTCCTCCCAGGCCACTCTTGCAATCTGCAGGCTCTACTCTGGACTCTTTTTGTCTGCCCTAGTTGCCTTCTCCTTCTCTGTGAAGTCCTGGAGCCTCTCACCCAGCAGAGCTGACCTGCCTGTGATAAATACCATTTAATTACAGAACAAGCTTTTCTGCCATTTCTCTCAGCATGGCTTCTATTGCTGAAGATTAAACTTCATTCCCACACCACTGAATTACCTTTTTAAACCTATTATTTCAATGTGATTAACTTCACTTCTTTCATTTAGCTGTAAGCAAAATCTTGTTTACAAGGCAAAAAAGTCTTTGCCTTAATATCGGCAATAATAATACAAACGAACGTTGCAAGAAATAATTTATGTGAAAAACAGGAAAAAATGGCAGTGATACACGAGGCTCCTCTTCAATTAATAAAAAGGAGGAAATATTTAAAAACAATTTATCAAAGAAATACATACAGTTCATACATCATGCATTTGCAAAGAATATACTAATATTCATCCCACAAATAGCTGTGTGACCCTGGATTCTAATTCTTTTGTGTGTGACAAAATTTGGGTTGTGGTTAAAATCCAGAGCTGGGTTTGGTTAGCAGAGTGCAGAGACAGGCCAGGCTACTGACGGAGAAAGAGGCCTGTGTTCGCCACACACCTGCCATGTTCTCATTTGAAGGTGGCCAAAGTGCATCAGAGGTTTTTAGAAAAGGTTGTTACTGCAAGCCTGGGTGAGCAACCTGAAACCTAGGTTGGTTTTAAAGGCCAGATCTTCATCATATCAGTTGTGCCTCTTCCTTTTAGGATTGAAATCCAAACCTCTAGGAACCATAGTTTTACTAAAAATTGCAAAAGGGAGAAATGCTTGGTGATTTTCAAAAAACTGTTTTTATTGGAAGCAAACCCTGGCAGAATGTTTCCCAAAAGTTGTTAAGGCTGGGTGGCTGCTGGGAAGCGGTGGCATCTGTCACTGCAGTTATGCAAATCCTCTCCTGTTAGGGCCAGAGCTTGGAGAGGGGACACACGGCTGCGTGTTGGCAAAACAGACACCGTATGCTACCACCCGCGTTTCTCCCTAATTTATTTTTACCATTTTCTTTTATGGTCTTCCATCAGATGCACTTCCCAGGGAGTTCCTTTACAGGGCAATGCAGAGAAATTAGCATTTACATCATATTTAACAGTTTACAATGAATTCCTCCACCCGCACATAAAACAACGTGCTTTCACAAGAAAAACATCAATGTGAGAATGAGTATTTCCACATATGGGGTCCTTATTTAGCTGACGTTTAGACTCCTTGATGGTTTAAGAGGAAAAATGGAGTTGGCAAAAGGCTTTCCAGCTCAAGCCAGGGTGCCAAGCCAGAGACGCCGTGGGGAGAAGGGGGCTGAGCTGCATTTGGAGATGCAGGACTGGGGCAGCCGGAAGCTCTGACCCTGGACTACCTCTTCCACCTCTTCCTCCTGCTCTGTCTCCTTGTTGCTCACCTCTTCCGCCCCCACCAAATTTTCTTGACTTCTCCCTTCCCTCCCTCCTTTTCCCACTCTTTTCTTCCTCCTGTCTGATTAACTGTGTCTACTGAGCGCCTCCATTGGTCCAGGCTCTGAGCTGGGAGCTGGCATGACAGAGGAGAGTCAGACACTCTAAACTTTTCTAACTCATGACTTTTTTAGGCATATAAAATATGCCCATACATGCACAACCAGATGGACTAACTTTTCCGCCTTAAACTACATAATGTTGAAATCATTCAGGAACCTCCAGGGATGGTGACCTGTAATGGCCCAGAGGAGGAATAACAGATTCTGACCTGGAGTCTAGTCCTGCCATCACCATGGTTAAGGCATCCTCTCTTTTCCCTGTTAGCTCTCTGTCTTGTTCTACCTAGAAGCTGTTGAGTACTGATTGTCAGGAGCTTTGTTTACACACTCTCGTCTCATCCTCAAAAGGGCTCATATTATCGGAGAGAGAGGCAGAGCGGGAGTAGAAGCAGGTTTGATCGCTTGTCATGCAGGCACTGGCCTGCTCCATGCTGGGATTTGCTTCACTGCAGCCCATGTAGATCTTCCCAGAGCTGCTTACTGTATCTGTGGGGACTGCTGGGTTTACACCCCACTTCCTGTCTCAGACGGGCTGTGTCAGAGGGGTGGGAGACAGCAAGCAGATAGAGCTATCAGTTGCTGAGAATGGGGGACCACTCTCTGGGGCAGCTACCTCGAGGGATGCCCCAGTTTGCCCTCTGGTGGGGATCAGGAACTGAAAACCCAGAGAGTGCCGGCATCTTCCAGGGTGGGAGCACAGGCTCAGAGAGGCTGGAGGAAGAGCCAGAAACCATCAGGGCAGGTTGACAGATGTGTTTCCAGCATCTGCCTCGCTCCTGGTGCTTGGCAGATGGGGCGCAGGGACTAGGCAGCTGAAAACCTGGATCCGTTTCAAACAACTCCATTTTTCAGGCTCAAAGCAGAGCATTTCTGCAGGGCAGCCACAAAACCAGTGCCACGGGGTCTCCCTGACCAGAGAAAGTTTCCCCAGAATGCTGCATAAGCCTGGTTTTGTTGAGAGGAAATTGCATAACCCAGTGAGCAATCTCTGGCTTATGAAACCCCTTGCTTCTGCACCTGTCCTTGCAGCTCTGCATGTCACATTTGCAGCCTTCAGACACCTGACAACTTTGAGATATGCCCACTTACCAGATAAGACTGTCAAGGTGAAGGCTGACTTGATCTTCCAGAACTGTGCTATCCAATTCAGTAGCCACTATCCACATGCAGCTATTCAGAACTGACATATACTGCCAATGTATTTAAAATATTCACTGCATTTTGAAAAAAAAAGTATCTCAATAATATTTTTATATTGATTACATGTTGAAATTATATTTTGGATATATTGGGTTAAATAAAATTTATTATTAACATTAATTTCACCTGTTTTTACTTTTAAAAAGATGTGGCCACCAGAAAATTAAAAATGACATATAGAGCTTGCATTCTATTTCTTTTGTACTGTGCCATCCTAGATGGCAGACTTTGTAGGATCATCCTCAAAGACATTGTGCCTGTGTCCCCAGCAAAATTTTCCCAGGAGCCCTTATTTCTGGATGCTGCCAGGTCCTGGAGGCATGGGCTATCCCTTCCCCTGTTGCCCAGAATGTAAGTTGAACTGTGTCCTCAGGTACCCTGGTCAGCTGTTTCTGAAGAGCAGTGGCTGCAGATGTTGCTTTGGTTACTCTGAGCAGTTTCTGCTGATCTGATACTGCTGATACCTAGACGGAGCCCTTGTGCTGGGTCCCAAGGCTCATGGCTGCTCCCTCTGGACCCAAAGACGGGCTACAGAGGAGCCTCATGGTGGCATCCAGGGGCCTCTCTTCCTGTTCCTTATGGCGGCTGAGCTTGTTCCTGGCCAGCCTACAGGAACCAGGCTGCCCTACCTCTTCTACCTTCTATATCCTTTGCCTTGATGGGCTGCCAGGTTCTAGGCAGGTGCCCTTGGAAGCTGAAGCAACCTTGGGAAGCACAGAGGTGCTTCTACATCCACCTCCATCCTGAGTAAACCCACCCCCCTTCACCACCACCACAAGGGGCACTTTTTCAGCTGTGGGCAACAGAAAACATCCTTAGGGCTAAGGGAGTAGTGGGGATGGGGTGCTATCACTTTGTTCAATGTCTCAGCCCAAACCCTCCCTTTAAAGATGGACTCATCCCTTTACTTAAAGGTGCACCCTCTTTGGATCCTCCAAGAGCCCCCAGGATTCCCCATTTTCCAGGAGAAGCTCACCCTTTTGGGGGTGGGTGAGGACGAGCTTCATCTGCATCCCCCTTCTTGAGCAGATATTTGTGGAGCTCCTGCCTCATGGCAGGCACCCTACAAAACTCTAGCCACAGGGTAGCAAACAAAAGCAGCTGCACCCTGGACTCTCGGAGCTCCCTCTAGTGGGAGAGACACGTGCTGATCTAGAAATCACATCCAAGTCTCCTTACAAACTCTAAGAGCTACCTGCAAAGGATGCCAGAAACGATCCAGTCTTGAGTGGAGGTGGTTGGGGTCAGGGAAAGCCTCCCTGAAGATGTGATATTTCAGCTGACATTGTATTTTGAAAGCTTTGGTTTTCTTCGCATACTGCTCCTCGGAAAGAGTCTTGAGGATCTGATGAGGCTGGAGAACATTTACCAGTGTGGCCTGAAGCTGAATTGTCTAGAAGGAAAAGTTTAATGAGAATAAAGAGACCCAGAAAATCAGCACCTCTTAGCATTAAGTCTTAAGACTAAGATGAAGCTGCAACTGGGAGAGGAAGGGTGGGCTGGAATTCATAGTGGGTTGAGGCAAGGGGTTCAAGGGCAAGGGGGTGAATGGTGATGGGGTATGGGCCTCCCTCCCAGGTAGAACTTCTGCTACTGCAGTGATGGCTTAACAGATCTGTGCAGGGTTGCACATTGTGTACTTGGTGTTTTGATGGAGCCTGTGTTTTTTGGGTCTCATAAAAGCTTCCAATGATATAGTATGTCTGATGGGGAACCCAATACTAGAAAGAGCCCTGAACCAGGAGACCTGGTTCCAACCCTGATTTTGCCCCTGACCCACTGTGTGACCTTGGAAGGGCCCTCTCCCCTCTCTGGAATGTAACCTCCTCATCTGTAAAATAAGGGGGCTGGACTGGGTGACCTATGAGCCCACATGTACATCTTGGGTTCCAGGACTCTGGGAGTCAATGACTTGCTTGGCTGAGCTGTTCCCAGATGTAGCCGAGAGGTCGAGGTTCAAGCCTGTTATGAAGCTGCCGCTCAGACGCTGCCATTTCTGATATTAATTTCTTTTCTCCCCATGAGACACGGAGGGCTTTATGAATGACTCCAAGAATTGCCTCTGGCCTTGGGGATGGGGCCTTGAAAGCAAATGGCTGAAACCCTAGAGCACCCCTACCCCAGGCTTTTGTTGAATCGACCCAAATCATTTCTCCTACAAGCAAGCTGTGGCTGAACTCTCGAGAACAGGGAGCTAGTGACAAGCTTTCATTCTGATTGTCCACAGAGCCATGCCCTGCTTCATTTGAATCTGGAGCAGAGAAAGCCCTGATTTTATTGGAAGTACAAAGTCATGGATGTGGAGTTGTTCCTAAGCTAGAATCCTGTAACTAGTAGAGTAACTCTGGGTCACTTCCATGAGCCTTAGTTTCTTTATCCATGAAATGGAGACAACGAAGTCACCTACCTTCACCAAACGATTGGCAGACAAAAATGAGCTTGTTACCCAATATCATATACAAGCACCTGGTAAAATTTAAAGCTATATGAAGATTATTATTACTATAAAATAACAGCAAAAATAAAAATATCCCTTCCAGATGGAAAAAAATATATCTCTAGAGCTTAGAGATGTTATTACTAATAAAGGTATCCTTCCTTCGCACAGTACTTTAGCTAATAAAGCACCACTCTGTTCATTATCTCATTTTATTCTCACCAGGACTATGAGGCAGGTGTTGTGACTCCCATGTTTCTGATGGGCAATGGCTCATAAAGGAGAAGTGGAATGCCTGAAGTCACAGCTACCTGAAGGGATATCAACCCTAATCTGATTATCTCTAAGTGGTGTGTTTTCTCACTGTCTTCTGTTCTTTGGACTGGACATACAACTCTAGCATTGTCTCTCCCTTGCAGTTCTTGGGACAGCCAGTGTCCTTTACTGGTATGTATGGTCACTCAGACCTGTGACCCTTTGGCTAGAGGGGCTTTGAGAGTGGACATGCACCCCTCTTTTTACATGGTCAGGAAGAGTTGGCTTAGAATAGCTTTGTGGGAGACTGTTGGGCTGGAAGCTACAAGTGTCAGCTTCATGCTCACGAGTGATGGCCAGAGCCAGGGTAGACTCTCCTGTGTCCTGCCTGGGTTGAAAGGAAGGCCTAGAGAGAGGCAGACAGCCTGCAAAGGTGAGAAACTCTATGGAAGGATATCAATCGCTGGCTGATGTTTCAACAAGAGGAAGATCCTCAAACAGGCCCCACTGCCATCCCACAGATACTCCCTTACATCTTTCTGACGTTCCCCAGGCCAAGGGCCATGCACTAATTCATGGTAAAACTTCGCCCCTGCTCGTTAGAAGCTTATAGTCACAGTCTGGAAAAGCTGTCTGGGCGGCTACTGGAGATCTGCTAGCGTGAAAGTTTCTGATTCCTTTCCAGCTAAAAATGAAAGTGTCTTTTTAGGGGGAAAAAAATAAATCCCCAGAAACAACACCTTATCAGAATAATAAAATTAAATTATAACAGGGCTGTCAGCGACACAATATCTGAGGGTGACAAGATGTAATCTCAGTAAAAACATCGGATCTGTCTGTTTATAGATCTAATAAATTATGTTAGAATTGTGCTCTTATAAATCTAGGCTGTCGAGGAAACCCAACAACTAATTCATCAGTTGCTCATCGAGAGGTCTGCTTCTCCGTTTCAATTGCTCACCATGTAGATAACAAGGAGCCTTACAGACTGGCTGGTTAAATGTCATTTGTTTCAGAGCTGTAACACGGCACGGATCATTGCTCACACATCGTCACCCAATTATATTAACCTGTGCAGCAATACGGTGTAATGACATGACATTAACGCAGCCACTTCAGAGGGGCGACAACTTCCCTTCTCACAGAGGCTGGAGCTGCAGGCTTCTCCCCAACCTCTCCCTTGTCATTTAAATGCAAAACAAAAGCTCTTGAATGGAAGGAGCAGAGTCACTTCTCTCTGGCTGAAATTTAAAATATTCTATGCTTTATCCTCTGTGAGCTCTGAGGGGCTTGCCTGCTGAGTTTTTTGTTCAGCAGCTCAGTTCTCCCAAAGGACGAGGTTTCCACCCTCCTCCTGAAATCCACAATTTCTTGTCTTTAAGGACAGTTCTGAGATTGCCTCCAAAATAAGGAAAAAGGAGATGACCGAATTGGGGGATGAGAGGCACAGGGAGAGCCCTATTTACAGAGGTAAATTACAAGGCACAGAGCCCTTCTTGGGGATTATGGCGTTTGGGGATATCTAGTTTCTTTTGTCTTGTCCGGGATATAAGGAGAAGATGAACACATCAGTTGATTTCAGAAACTTGTGTTTCTCATTCTTGGCACTGTTGACACTGGGCAATTGTTTGTCATGGGGGTCTGTCCTGTGCGTTGTGGGATGTTTAGCAGCATCCTGTCTCTACCCACTAGATGCCAGTAACATTTCCCACCAGTTGTGACAACCAAAAATGTCTCCAGACATTGCCAATTGCTTAACCGGGGGCAGAGTTGTACCCCGTTGAGAATTTCATCGAGGACAAAACTTTTTACTCTATAAACCTCCAATAAATATTTACAGAGCACCAGATCTGTGCTGGTTTGGGGCTCTTTAAGTTGCTTAAAGTTTTTTCATCTAAGAGGGGCCTCAGAACTCTCAAAGTCTCTCTCCTCTGCAGACAGAGAGCTGGCTATGCTCTTCAGGTTTTACATGTTGAACTCCATCCCCTTTATTTAATAGCCCTGAACCTTTAGGACCCTTGCTTCATCTGTACAGTGGGGATAGTAATAGCCCTGATATCATTGAGCCCACTCATGAAGGAGCCTGTGGATCCTGGGGACAAGGAGTTAGCCCAGACCTCAAGGACAGAACCTGGCTAGGGGCTAGGGCCAGGCAAAGCAGGTCTCCCTAAGCAAAGCACCAATCCCAGCAAAGGAAATCAAGGAAGTAGCCCATGAGGATAGACTATGCATGCCTAGAAGAAGCTCTTAGGTGCCAATTCTGGCCACCTTAAGTCAATCAATCACTCAATCAACCAATAGCATTTTTATGTGCCAGGTGCTGTTATCAGTACTTCTCAAGTATTATATCATTTACATCTCATAATAACTATGAGAGAGATTCTGTCATTATCTCCATTTTACAGATGGGGAAGCTAAGGCACAGAAAGGTTTAGTAACTTGCTCAGTGTAAACCTTAGATTTGTACCCAAGCAGCCTGCTTCCAGAGTCCACACTTTCAGCACTCATCTTTTCTATTTTTATTTTTTTGAGATGGGGTCTTCCTCTGTTGCCTAGGCTAAAATGCAGTGGTTACAATCATGGCTCACTGCAGCCTCGACCCCACCAAGCTCAGGTGATCCTCTCACCTCAGTCTCCCAAGTAGCTGGGACCATGGTAGTATGCCGCCATATCCAGCTAGATTTTGTATATTTTGTAGAGAATGGGTTTCATTGTGTTACCCAGGTTGTCCTCAAACTCCTGGACTCAGGTGATCTGTCCACCTTGACCTCTCAAAGTGCTGAAATTACAGGTGTGAGCCACTGTGCCTGACCCAGCACACATCTGTGATAGGGATAAGAGAGTCCCTGCTCTGCTCAGGGTTAACCTTGGGGTAAGGTTAACCTAAGTGATATGGTTTGACTGTGTTCCTACCCAAATCTCACCTTGAATTGTGGTTCCCATAATCCCCATGTGTCGTGGAAGGGACCTGGTGGGAAGTAGTTGAATCATGGGGGTGATTTCTTCCATGCTATTATTGTAATAGTGAGTAAGTTCTTATAAGATCTTATGGTTTTACAAGGGGCTTCCCCCTTTGCTTGGGCCTTATTCTTCCCTCTCCTGCTGCCATGTGAAGAAGGATGTGTTTGCTTCCCCTTCTGCCATGATCATAAGTTTCCTGAGGCCTCCCAAGCCCTGCCGAACTGTGAGTCAATGAAACCTCTTATAAATTACCCACTCTTGGGTATGTCTTTATTAGTATCATGAGAATGGACTAATACAGTAAGGTCAGAAGTTTGGGTATACTGGGGGAGAGAGCTGCCTATCCCCCACTATAAGCTTGCCTCCCTGTTTCTCTTTAAGTTGATCACCTCTGTTTCATCTTACCTATCTTTCCACTGAAATGTTTATGAAAACACACAAATACTGACATATTTAATAGCACCAGGATCCTGGAATATTAATCTGTGATATGCATCTAATTTCCTTCAACTGAAACAGATGAAGTATTGAGACAGAGGGTGGGGCCACATAGGGAAAAAGCAAAAGGCAGCCTCAGTCTCCCCATCCCCAACCTGTATCTATATCTCCAAATGAGTCCTTCACCAGAGAGAAGGAAGCCTTCCTCACCCTGACTCTGTGGGAATTATGTTCTGAGGAGGCCAGAGTTCTAGATTTCCTCACTCCACCCTAGCAGTACTCTTCCATCAGTTCAATGACCA